CTTCAAGTCTCCATCTAATAGCAATCACGGATAAGTCACCGTCTGGACACTCTACCGAAAACAGCAATGTGATCGAATGTCAGGTGAGTTTTTCTAATTTCATCCGAATGCAAAGTTTCTCAACTAGCGAACGCTGCTACAATTGGTAAACCTCAAGTAAAAAATTCTGGATCAAAGCAACTTTTTGCACCTTAAAATGGAAATTAAGTTAATGAAGGTGAGACATGCTTTCATTCTATCAGAGCTGCTGCATCAATCCATATCATAGATTATGACGATGGAATTATGACGACGGTGGGCAAAACGATAAGTCTGACAGATTAGTGATGAATGAAAACAGTTTCAGTGCAAGTATTCATAGGGTCGGTCACTACATTAGATAGCGCAGCATATTTTTACCATCTGCAGGTTTGTTTGGAATCGAAATGCGACGCTGAATCTATGATGCAGTTCAAGCCGTGTTTGCACTCGTTTTGTTTGCACTGCGTCACCACCTATTTCAAGATGATTGCACGAGAATGCAAACTAGTCAAGCGATTCCAGTGTTTGCACACTGCATGTACAAGCTCGGCCACTGACCAACAACTCAAGGCAGTACTGTCGGCCGATGAGCTGAGTTTATGTGAACGCAAAAAGTTCACCGAAAATTTGGGATCGCTAAAAGGCATTGTGGAATGTCCAGTAGGAACGTGTGGAGCGTGTTATTTTTTCGATGAGCAACAAAAGCTCAATTGCTCATCACAGTGAGCATATATATGTTTATGTTCGTTCGTTTCGATAACTTTCTGTCAGAAACGATTCAACTTGATTGACCTTGAAGCAAGTGTGTTTTCCAATATGAATAATAGTTAAATTATGCCATTGTGGCGAGTTCACTTACGCTTCAGTGTATGTCGAATTTCGAACAGTGCTTAGTAGATGTGATCGAAAGGAAAATATTTTTTTCTGTTGTTATGAAGTGCCTCACTGTCGTAGTCTGACTTAAAGATTTATTTCAGTACACCAAATTTCGCTGAATGCACTTATTGCAAATATGTATTTTGCATGGAGTGTAGAAATGCTTATCATGGTACACAACCTTGCGAAATTGACTCAGGTAACATATAGATCATCATTTTGTTAACAGCCTCTCTGTGCTGATAGTTCAGCAGTAGCTTAATAGGCTGCTTTATAGCTTTGGACTTAATCAGCTAAATTCTGAGTGAAAATTTATCGTATTAGGTTTACAGCTGTACAATGAAAATTTGAAAATGATCATTTGGTAGGATGATTTCAAATAAATTAATGTATACACGGCTTATCTGTTGCTAACAAGTTCACATGTGTTTCCTTGCGTACTTCTAGAACAGCGGAGAAAGCTATTGACGAAATACGGAAACGTCGAATCAGTCGATAAGAATGGAGTATTGGCGACTTTTGGAGGAGAAAGAAATTTGGCCAAGTACATTGCAAAGTTGAAGTGTGACGAGTGGATTGACGGAAACTGCAAGCAGTGTCCAACNTGTCATGTGAATGTTCATGTGAGAAATCGTTATCGTTCAATTTTTTAACGTTATAATTTAGTGTCGTTCAGTTATGTTACTACTTATCGAACATTTTATTGGACGGTGCTATTTGCACATCAGTTCAGTTTACAATCGAACAGAATAGTGGGCAAGATGTGGGTGATATCCTCTTTCACACTATTTTTTTGTTTGTTTTTTGAAAATGCACTGTTTTCGTTATTCGGCTTAGCCCTTTTATTGATGACTGATGCTCAAAAATCTCTCGCATTGCTCAAAAATCTCTCGCATTGCTCAAAAATCTCTCATTATCTCGTATTAGTCATTGGAATACATTTTGCCCCGCATAACGTAAGATCGATTATGGTCGTCGCATAACGTAACACTTGCAATTCGGTGCAAATTTTCATCGAAATTCTAGAGGTTTACGGGATGCCGAAATATGTGTTGTTCGATGTGTGACACCCAGTTCTGCTGGATTTGCTGCAAGACGGAATGTGACGATCCAGAACTTTGTTGGTGGTTTTGTTGCTATCGTTTGTTTTTAACATTTCTACAATTATATGTGATGAACAGTCAATTCTTTTCATTCGTATGGTTTCTGATCTGCTCTGGTGGTTCGGTCTCTTACAGTGCACACCATCATCCAGTCTTTTCTTGATAATTCTTTCTTATCGAGCAAATTCGTAACGAATTTTCTTTCCAAATTATCATTATCGTTCAGATGACATTCATCTGGCACCCTCATTAATGCTGTCCTTGCACAGGCACTCTCCCACTCCGAGTGAGTGCTTGTCCATTCGATTCATCGTGTTTTCCAGCCAATTCCAGTCATTTCCTAGCGCTGCATCTCATAACAACAGCGGAGAGCGGAAATGAGATCTTCATTTTTCATGCGTACTAAATTGGATGATGAACGTTATTCAAACGTTTTCGATCTTCTAGGTGACTACCTCGATGAGGATTATGAATGCGACGAGGAACTGCAAGCGGATGATGATGATCGACGGGAGGGCTGCGAGGAGGTTCCGTGGCCATCATACCGGCCGCTTGATATTTAAGAAAGGATTGCTTCATGAGGCGGCCGGAATGAGAAAGTTACTGGAATGCATTGCTAATTCAAATCATCTGAAATCACTCAAAGCCTTCTGCAGTCCAGAAGAGACCATGGAAAGGAGACGATATGTAATTAAAATTAACCAAAACGGGAGTGATTGCGATGGATGACCGTAATTTGCATGCAGCCAGAGTTGCCGACTAACATTATTATTATTATTACTTTCCTGAATACTACCATTCTAAGAATGTTTTTCTTGTTCTCAATGCAAATCGCTATTATTGTTATCATTGCTGTATATATGTCATTCAGCTCTACGATGCCATTATTTTCACAAACTACCATGTGAGCTTGTTAACGCTCATCTTTATTTGTTGCGTTCCAATGTTCGATCTTATTATTTGGCAAAATCTTTGCCACTGAGATCGATCTGAGATGAGCATATTCACTTGATGAACTTTGATGTTTTTGCATATGACGTTTTCTTTCATCACATTGCATTGAAATTGGTTGGAAAATCAATTGAAAATTCATTTGTGTCATGTAAAAGTGTCAAGCTCTAAATTCTGTGTGCAGCAGGTTATACTTTACTCGATTATGAATGTTTCCGAAGCATACGGTCATTACTTTTCACCTATAATAACTGTATCATCGAAAGCTCTGAACCGTTGGAAAATGAAATCTGAATACTCGTAAGACTTGCTGAAATTACTACTGTAGAACTGGAATCTCAAAAAGCAAATGCACAGCGTTCATAATGTATAATTGTAGAATGACTGACCTCGTCACGTAGAATGCATTGATTCATTTAACGTCAAAAACAGATGGATAGCAAATTTGAAGTTATACAAGTATTGGGAAGTCAGAAGTACCTGTGACTGCAATGACAGCCATATGTTCCGCTAGCCACCCCTCATCCCTGGCAACCATTGATGCAAGTCTCAACGATATCTCGCTCAAGCAAGATATGGCACTTTCATTCCCCGTTCCATACGACCAAACTTCACGTTCCTCTGGCGTTTTCGCCGACATCGCCAACAAAGCTAGTTCAGGCACGCATGGCCACTGAAGATAAGTTCAGTTTGAATGCGAATTCCAACAAAAAAACGTGTATGAGAATTTTGAGACATGTTCTTTAACAGATCTAATAGTGTCATCTGTTGTCGCGACTAGCGCGAAAAGCCAGCATACAAAGAAGATTGTATTTAAATCAAATAGAAATCGTTGAGCAGTGGGCCGATTGTGTACTGGTGTAACGCTGGGCTTTGAGGATCCGATCTGTTCAGAAGGCGTGAGTTCGATTCCGCGTCGGTCCAAAATCTTTGACAAAGTTAGATCTCATTCAAGAGATAATCAAGAGGGCTTAGTTTCGACATCTGTAGTCCTCATAACTGGCATTCAATATAAATTCGCACCACCTCTTCATCCATTCTCTAATATAGAACAGTGTCATGGAAAGATGTCAAACTTAGGAAAGAAACAAACGTTATTTTCAAGTTTGTAGATGATGGGCCGTTGAACACCTACAGAATGAACACAACGAACAAATCGTTTGTCATGTATACAATCCCATACAGCAGGTGATACTCTGAAAACTTTTACGCTTTAATGATTAGCGCAATTCATACGTATGAAAGGAGTGCCAACAACAGTCTTGATTGCAGTTTACGAATGAGACAAAATAGTCTCTTACCTATTTCCAGCATGCACTGAGAAGAGTATGTTGAAAATGTGATGTGTATAAAATTGACATTCACCTTGCACAAGTGACTGTTATCAATGCTACGTAGGGGCTGTCGGTTAGCTGAATAGCGTTAGCAGAGAAGCGTCCACCGATTGGACCCAACGAGAATGGCAACACATACATGACTCGACCTGCAAGCTCAGTTCCCGACAACATCAAATATAGTTGATAGTTTCGTTGTGAACGCTTCAATTTCTCAAACGTTCTGATCAAATCATGCACTTATGTGAGCCCTTCCAACCACTTCAATGAATATCAACTGTAGTAGAGGAGCAAACAGGATGGGAATCCTTAAAATTCTCTGCAAATAAGCAGCAAAATACGATGATTTAACGAGATTTGTTGATGAGTATCGTCGAGCAAACATACCGGCCATTGCACATGGAAAGCGCTCATCCAATTCCACACCCATTTCAAATGGAGATATCCATTTTGCAAACACCGATCGGCCATATGAGAATCTCAAAAATCGCAACTGAATGTTTTGACAACTGTGACCCGACTTGTTTTGCAGAGGCTCGAATATGTTTTCGGGATTGTCAACGGTGTCCACTGGGCTGGATCAATTTTATGTTCGTTGTCTAACCATTCAGTAGAATTGCTGCTATGGTAATATTGGTGAAGATTTCGTAGATGGCGACCAAAGTAATCTACGCTTACTTTGTTTCAGTGGAAGTAATGCAATCTGACGCAATAAACGGATCGATTGGCATCGAGTGTGCATCTCGTTGATCGGTAGTTATCAAGCAACAGTTGTTGTGTGCTTTCAACTCTTTAGCCACACCGATTTGTTTCAGTTCCCTGATCAAGTCTTCCCGTTCCATCTCTCCACCATCACATATGTAGATCGCCCTTGGCCTCAACAATCGTGCTTTCTCAGCGATAAACTTCTGCAATGTATGCAGCTCAGCAACGGCAATTTTCAGCAGATGCTCCGACATGAAAACGAGAGATGATTGGTACCTGAGCTTTGATGGGTATAATTTTTGGATCTCCCTTAATTAGTGGGACCCCGCCGAAACCACGAATGTAAAATTTCGTGATTATTCGATATTCAGTTGAATTCTGGTGACACTGCGATATGGCTGCAGCACTCAGATCCTAGAAGTATGAATTGATCGATTGATGTGAATGTTTAAAGCGTCAATGGCAACGAAGCTAAAAATCACTCATGAAACTTGCATCAGGAATGCATGATGTTGCTGTATGAATCACGTTAGCAAAGGTGTGGAGATCCGAAACTAATCGGAACCAGACAAACCAAACAAACTCTGACCGTCTTTACTTGAATATCATCGCAAATATGCGCAAGGCACACGACTGCATTAATTCAGCTATGAGAGATCTTAATTCTAACCCGTCCGTTTGACGGAACCAGGGCTCGCAATTCGGTCATGAAAACTAGTAAAACCAAACAATTTTCACTGTTCTCATCATGCTAGATAAAAGAGTTTAGCAAGGATACAAAGGAATATGTGTAAGAGGAATTACATCGTGTGCTTCTGTTTCCGCTTCCTTCGAGCCTGTCGGATTCTTTAGCGAAGCTTCTACAAATGTACAGTGAAATATTTCCCATTCTGATCAAAATCTACATTCACAGAATTGATATTTCATCAACATTAACAATATCCGGTGTATACAACAATGCCGGTTTGAAACTGATCATCATTTGATCGAAAGATTTCACAGCGAATTTCTCGATTCAACTCAAAAAAGCAACTATTTCAATTTCAAATTAGTGAAATCCTGGTTACAGTTACTGATTCATCCACTCATCTTAATTCAATCAAAAGAGCATGAACGAAAGAATTCCTCACTGCTGTTCACGCGATGAAACGTCTCAGCCTTCACAGCATTCATCACTTTTACAAGTGGGCGAACTGATGTATCCAGAAAATATCACTGAACCGCCCAGAGCACACTTGCATTCAACAACAAATCTACTTTAGAAGCGAGCAGGCTGGCCACACTGTTAAGTAATTTGCATTCATGTGCGAATTCTTCTGTATGGCAAGTTCTTCATTTTTTATGCAAATCCGACTGAGCTCATGGACAATCCTCCAACCTTATACAGATGCGACGAACTCATAAACTTGATAAAACATAGATATTCGTGCAGACAGCCTTGAAAGTCACAGTTAGAGATCACTAACGTATCTCATGCGACGTATCAGCAGTTCGAATGGTTGTGATTGATTTATCACGTGACGAATGATCGCATGTGTGTGCGACTAAAATTTCGCGAGGTAACGTTTGGCTTGATGTCATAAGTACTACATTCTATCCGCCTGTATGCTCAGATTTGATCAGTGGGGATAGCATTTTTTTTGTTACCGTTGGATAGCGCAGATTCTCAGCTTCCAGCATTTTATACACATGGTCGAGGGATAAGGCCTAGGTCAAAAGATATGGCCTAATCTTTAACAATATATCATTTATCTGATGTGAGCTTTAAATTTCAGCTGCATTACCCAAGTTAGAGGTGATATTTGGTTCGATTACCCAAGTTTGACGTGACATATGGCATGGTTACCCAAGATTTAGGTGACATTTGGTTCGATTTGGTATATCACTTATCTGATTGTGTTGCCTCAAACTTGGGTAATCCAACCGAATGCTACCTCAAATTTGGGTAATCGAACCAAATGTTACCTCAATCTTGAAGACGATGCACTTAGTTGATGCACGTATGGAGATTATTATTATTGTCATCGGTGTTACCATTTCAATATTAATGTTTATCATTTATTCCAGTTATTCCAGCTACGCGCTATGTGAATGTACTCATCATGGTGTGATGAATGTTTTTTGTTATGTTCAATTCAAATTTTTTGATATCGATGAACCATATCAACATATATTTTCAGCGGGAAGCGTAATTTGATTCAGCGAGACAGTCAAAAAACATCAACGAAGTTCAATATAATATCTATGAAACAACGATAAATGAATCACAGCGATCCAAAACAAGAAACAAGGATTTCACATCAAGTCGACGATAGACGTTTTCCAAATTCGAAAAATTCGTCACTGATTGCCTTGGGAAAGTCAGAATTTCCAATGATTAAATCCAAAGTTTTTCGAACAATTCTCAGTTCATTCACCCAAAACGGTTTCGGCGCTGCGATCAAATCATCCCAGTCCACTTTTATTCCCTGAAAATCATGACTGTTGCGATTCTCATGACATGCTTTCATGAGCTACGACCACTTTTCTAGACGTATAAATCCAAAAATCATTGACAGATCGGGTCTTGTGAATATGAAACATAGGAAAAACAATGTGACTTGTAGGCTGAAAATTGGGTACTTTAGAATCTTTTCTAAAAATAGTTTCGACTGTTTTTTCGGACAATGAAGAAAGAAAGCTTTACGGGCAACTAACGGTAAGATTCATTGAGTTCAAACGAGGAACATAGCCAAGGAATGTTTTGATAGCAGTGTCCTCGGCGGACTTGCTGATGCGATGCACAATCCACTGCAGAATACGTATGTTTTCACCGAATCCAGGCCATAGAAATTTATTCTCGGCTTTTTCTTTGAACAGATTCAAGAAGAAAACTTTTGGTAGTTGACTGGATGAAGGATCCTGAAATGGTGTGATAGTTTTCATTCAAGAACGATATGTAATCATTTCATATCTTTGCAGCTGTCTATGCTGCAGGATCGAACCAGTGCAAAAATGTAATTGGCTAGGTTTGAAAGACAGATGGGAAGATGGTCACCTTTTTAGCGGTTTTATCGAAACTTAGCCAATGTTGAATATATTCACCAAGCGGATAACCAATGTAACGAGTCATGCCCATTGGATCAAATCTTGTTTCGTCACCTGCAAGCGAATAAATACCCTAAGTGAGATAGCGTCTAACGAGCAACTTTTAATGTAACTGCCATTTTACGAGATGAAGGGCACATGAATGTTAGCATTCCGATATCAAGAAACCAAGTAACATCTAATGAAAAATCATATCGTTTCAAATCTCTTGAAAGCCCCCATAATATGCACAAAGGTGAATGTTTGAATTGCGTTATTCCGAGAGGAGTGTTAGCAACACATGGATTTGACATGAATGTTAAACTAACGCTCGCTGACAGCTGACCTTTTCCATCGCATTTACAGTCGAAACGTAGAGTTGACGCATGAAACACTGCTTGTTGCCAGCCGAAAGATNGTAATTGGCTAGGTTTGAAAGACAGATGGGAAGATGGTCACGCGGTTTTATCGAAACTTAGCCAATGTTGAATATATTCACCAAGCGGATAACCAATGTAACGAGTCATGCCCATTGGATCAAATCTTGTTTCG